ATGCCTCCGCAGGTTGAACACCCTTTTTCATGGGCTAAAACCTGAACTCACGCAGCGGTGTTAATTTTTAAAAAATCCGCTTAAAATTTGCGGACGGTGGGATTTGAAACCAGGTTGCTCTAATACCATCTTAAATTTAGTTCCTCTAACCATTACACCAAAACTCAGAAGTTATGGTGAGGGTCTAGAATTATAGTTTTTATATTAATTTTAACAATTACAATACTACTAAAGTCTGATACATATATGTTTGTGGTCCAATTGATAAAGCTAAACATAAATTAATGAAAAAACATATGGCCTGCTAATTTTGCAACTCCCCACTAAAAAATATTCCCAACCAAATTGGCTCTATACTTACCTTTCAACTCTGAACAAGCCATCTCCATAAACTTTAGAATCTTTGGAGAATTCACGTACATGAATCTTGGGCCGCATGCGGCATAATTAATTCCATGGAATATACTTAGCATAAGTATATATGCGAAGTCAATATATGGCATTTGTCTACTTCCTGCATTTTCCAAGAAGCTAAAATTTTAGAGGCATACACATTTAGAAGTAAGAAATGAAAGGATGTCTTTCAGGCAATTGATGGTCTCAAAAATTTGTTCTCTCTTCCTTTCTTTAAATATTTAAATATTTTTTAACAAGCAAATATATGAATTTAAAATAGTTCAGTGAGGGTAAAACAAGAGAGAAATTGAAATTCCATTATTCATAAGTAGTCAACATGATTATATTATATATTTGTGTGGTTAGCACATGGAAGAGGGTAACCTTAATGTCAAAGTGTAGGATTAAAAATGATTAAGCTTTTTAATAGTGTTTTTTAGTTTGAAAATTAATATAGAATAACAGTATACTATGAATTTAGGAAAAATCAGTTATTGACTATCACTTGTATAAGAGAGAAGAAAATATTATTTAGGCAACGTTTGAGTTTGTAAACTCGAAATAGGGCCGGAAATGGACTGAATACAAATAGAATATTGAGATATTTGTCTTGCATTCGTTTAATTTTTTTTAATATGAATACGAATTTGAATAACGTTATCTGAATTTCTTTGAATTTGAATTTGAATTCCTGTGCTTGCCAAATATTCACAAGTACTTATAGAATATTGAAGAATATTTACTTGAATAATAATTTATGTTTTATGAACATTAAACAATTTAATTAAGTAGATACTTTTATTTGATTAAAGCAATATTTTTTATTATTCTAAGAATATGATATTTTAGATTACATTTAAATTCATAATTGAAAGTCATTCCTTCATATCTATCATACAATTACAGAATATTTAGTTAAGAAAATAGATTTCGAAATTGTTAAGCCTCTCAAAATTAGTATACAGCTAATTAAAAAATGTAGCTGCGTCAAGAACATAACATCACGTGCACGTGTGTAATTAATGCAAGTTATAAGTAAAAAACTTTTTGTCGAATAGTTTATTAAACAAACGAATCAAATATACCTATGGTTAAATTCTATTCATTTGTGAATCGAATACTAAAAGCTATTCGTTTATTGTTAAACGAACTATCGAATTGAATACGACCAGATACTTAAGTGAATAAATATCAAAGCATTTGTTAAATATTTGATTGGTTTCCACCCCTACTTGTCCTTTTCACTTCTATATAATTATTTAATAAAAAAAACTTGATTGGCACAAGGTAAGTTTATACTTAGTTCAAAACAATCAATTACAGCTTTCCACGTAGACCAAACGAAAACCATGTGCAAATAATTAAGTAGAATAATTAACCTTATTTACATAACCAAGGCTTACATATTCCTAGTCCAGTCCTTATTTCATGAGTGCATCATGTAGAAACTTTAATTCATGATTAATTCATAGAGATTAAACTCAAGAACGGAAGCAATACCTCAATCCATGACGATTTGAGCACGGATCTGAACTAGGGCTTGATCTTCTAATCTGAAAGATTTCTCTTTAAGAATTCTCTTAATATGGGGATTAGAGAATAGAGAACTTAACCTTTAGATTAGGGACCATAACCCCTTTATATATATTTACAATTTTCTAATTTAGCCCCTCATAAAACTAGAATTGCATTTTAGTATCTGCACAATTAGCCCATGACACATTTAAATACTCATTAACCCAATTGACTTAATTGATCACTTTATTCGGGTTAACCTTAAGGATAGCACTATACACTAATGTAACATATATGCTCACAATTAGATTTAATCCAACACATCATGCCTAATAAGTAATTTAATTAGCATGCTACCCTTTAATCACTAGTATAGCTTTAATTTCTCTGACAAGACATTGAACCAAGCCAAGCCAAGGCAAGTGAGGATTCTATATTTAATTAATTAGCATGTGTGATAATTGAAAGCTCCTTTTGTGGAGATATATATCTCTCACTACAACCACACATACACACAGACACTCATTCTCCTCTCTCTTAAACTCCTCTATGCAGTAGCCAGTAAGCGAGCGTCGCAAAATAGGCTAGTTGGCCTCAGGATTTTGATAGAGAGTCAGCATCGAGAATCAAACGTAGTCACTAAGACGACGTTGTTGACTGTTGGTGGTCGGAAGAAGAGCTTGCCGGAGGGGGGATTTTTGAAATCTTGCTTCTTGTGTAGGAGGGAGCTTAGCCTAGACAAGGATGTGTACATGTACAGGTACATGCTAATTAGCCTTTAATTAAACTTCAGAACTTTATTAATCAAATAACTGACTCTGTACAAACGTTTCTCAAGTCTTTATCCGATTATTTTGTTAATTTAGTGCCAATTAAAGACCCTTTTTTCAGATTCATGCAATTCTTGGTTGCTTTCAGGTTTTGCTGAAAAATATAGCAAGAACATTATACCATAACCATGTTTCCATAAGTTATACATGTATGGGTTCTTGTTTATCTAGCTAATATACTGTTTGTTAACAAACTCAAATTATAATTTATTTTTTATTTTTCATGTTTTCTCAAGAGAATCAATTTCCTTTTGTCAAGTTATCCTACAGAATCTGTACTCCATCTAATTATAGAAAGCTATGAAAGATTCCATGTTAAACTTGATCAAGTTGTGAGAAGAAGATATTTAGATAAGCGTTTCAGCCCCTTGATGTTTTTATTTATTTCTTTTTCCTGAAAATGTTATTGTTATTATCATCAATCTGCAGAGGGGACCAAGGATTTTGCAGCGTGGAGTGCCGGTGCCAACAAATTTTGCTAGACGAAAGAAGAGAGTTTGAAGCATCAAAAAGAGAGTGGCAAAGAATGCAAAACCGCCGCCATGGTTTACCCAAAATCAGAGAATCTGATCATAGGAGGAGGGTTGCACTTGGGGCTTGACTAATTTGGCTCATGAAGAAAGATAAATTGGAACTTTTTTGTCATCATATAATTCTTTTCCGACAAAAAGAAGGAAAAACAAAAAAGGAAGAGAAATTTATACTTCCAATACATGCATATATATGTAAAATTTATGTCTAGCTACGAATCTGCGAAGAACAATCTGAGTTAATTGTACATTACGAAGTGGTGACAATATACAGTAGTTTTATAATTACTGATGTAACTCAAGCGATGTAATGCTGACAATCATAGCTTTATGTGACTTGGTAAATGATAATTAAGGTCGAGTTAAAAAACTCATTAAAAAACTCATGATGAGTCCCAATTAAGCTTGAATTAATATTGGCGCAAAATATATGGTTTCGGTCACTATATCCTTTGCATGATGCACCCATGTGTGAAAAAAGCGAACGAGCGTCGTATGAGACATTAATTATCTCTTTTCACATTGCATGAATCATGGAGGAACGACCAAAAAAAATGTACGAGCCAATTGATTCGATAAATAATAGCATATATCTGATATGCTCTTTGTTAAACTCTGATAAATGAACTTTATTCGAGGTTCAACATCCATCATATGCGTCTTCTCACGCAAGCCAATTTCAATAAAAGGGTGTATTATTGGTTAGAATATATTGTCGACGTAATTCTTTACATCTGAAATATTCCATCAAATTATGTGTTTTCAAACTTATGAACTAAGTCATCTCTTATAATCTATAAATATAAAGGAAGAGCTTGAAATAACTGATCATCCCTGATCGAACAGAGAGATGTGTGGGGTGATGGGTACCCACGATACGTATTCATTTTTAATTCATATAAAAAAGCTCATCACAACGAGGGCATTTGGTCTAGTGGTATGATTCTCGCTTAGGGTGCGAGAGGTCCCGAGTTCAATTCTCGGAATGCCCCTATATTTTGTTTTTCTCATTTTTTCCCATCTTTTTTAAAAGCCAACAGCTTCGGTGTTCCGAAAATAATTTTAGGAGTACCGATGTCACAAATTGTAATTAATCTCCGTAATTTGTGCTCTCACTCGCCCGGTTAATTTGGTTCCCACAAAAAAATAGAGTACCACACCTTTTTTTGTAATTATTTGCATCGTCAACACAAATTGTAATTAATCTCCGTAATTTGTGCTCTCACACGCCCGGTTAATTCGGTTCCCACAAAAAATAGAGTACCACACCCTTTTTTGTAATTATTTGTATCGTCAAGGGCGGTTACGTATTTCACCTAACTCAGCCCTCCTCCTTCCTCTGGACTCGGCCCTTCAAAAAGATGGTTTTGCTATAAATTTAAGACCATTTGTTGGTGATTTGCTATCAATTTAATTGCAACTTTTTACCCTAACAAAACTCCAGTTTCTCTTCTCTTCCATTTTTTTATACAAGGTTATTATCGGAATCTTTAAGAACTCAATTGCCATTTGCTCAATTGATCCTATTACTAATCTTTCATTCCACTCATTTATTCCATGAATTTACTTCTGTGGGATTCATGGGTAAATGAATATGGTTGGTGGTAGCTAGCGTCCTAATAATAATTTGCATATTGTATGCAATTGTGGGGCGAATTAATAATTCAATTAAGTTTTCCCATGGCTTTGTCCACCAAGTTCTCCACTCGGCTTCATCTTCAACGAACACGCCATGGATAATAATTGTTCATCGCCATACGAGAAATTCACCAACTTTCTCAAAAAAAAATTCTTCTTTGAAACTTCATCCGTCATCGAACTCCGATGATCAATGGAATTGTTAGGAAAATGATTTAATGACCCAAAATATGGGACCAAGGGAGGGGACAGGTGTAGGGTGAAAATTTGATTCTTCCGAAGGAAGGAGTTTCGTTTGTATTTATAAGAAAGCTTATTA